GTCATTGTTAACCCGATGCTTTGGCTCTCTCCGTCTCTCCTAATTCACTTTTCTAACGTTGTTTATGTTTATGAATCCCATATTTATAATTTCCTAATTATCTTTTCTTTTTCTTCCTCACATTTACACTTTTTTTAGGAGTTTTATCAATACAAGGCCTGAAAGATGGGTAAACTATCAATACGAGGCCTAAAAGATTTTTTTTCTCAATTCATGACTTAAATGTTATAAAACTATCAAATTAGGTCTAGATTTAACAAAACTCAAAACACCATTAAATTTAGTGTGTATCGGATGATGCACGGGTAGACTTATTCCTTAAACTAACTTTATTTTAAATATAATTATTTATATTTAAAACATGTCATTTATTGATTTCTTAATATGCATTTTTATTATTAATTACCATTCAGATAAAACAATTAATTGATTGACATAATTAATTTCTATAGAAAATTAGCAACTAATTAATTATCATGCATATTAGACTAGACATCCCATAAATATATGGTCCAATTGCAGGATTTTCATATTTTTGAAAAATATTTCTAAAGAAAATTGAGAAGCTCTACGTACATTGAATAATAAATACGAAATATTCAAACTTAAAAAGTTTAATATTTATTTAGTTATGATTAGTAACTTATCTGTAGATATTTTTATTTAAAACATGATATGTAATCATAAAAAATTTAGTTAAAAAGTATCTATTTTATTGTCAAATCTATTGAGCACAAAATAAAAATGTGAAGTATGAAGTCCATGGAACACTTTCCTTCAAACGATCTAATTCACTAGATCAAATCGACAGAAGTTTTGAGAATGAAAGAGAAGGTCACGGCGAGACGAGCCGTTTATCATTATCGACATATTATTTTATTGTAATTACTTATACATAGATTATATAAGGTAAAATATAAAAGCACCACCTTTCATGTTTTTGCAATTTAATCACCACTTTTGCAATTTAGCAATTTAATACACCACTTTAGTTATTTCTTGCAATTCGAATCACAGGACCCAATTTCGGGCCTGTTCTGGTGACGTGGCATTTTTGTGCTGACGTGGTGTTTCTACGTGTCAATGATTGGCATCTTTGCGCTGACGTGGCAGTCTATTTCAATTGAAAAAAAAAAATTGTATGCCTTACTGTAGGAGGATTCGAACCCTGGCCTCCAAAGGAGAAAGATAGCTATGCTACCGACTCACCCATCCATGTTAGTTAACATATTCAATAACAATTTATATATATAGGAATTACGTATGAATAAATCATACTAAATTTAGAATAATTAATTATATTATATTAAATTAATTAAATATAAAATTATAATAAATTAAATTAAATGAAAATAAAATAAATTAAGATAATTAAAATATAGAGTTTTATTAATTCATATTTTGTGTTAGAGTAAACCATATTAATAATATTTAGTAAACCATATTAATAATATTTAAGAAATAAGATTTTTATTATTTACTATTTCATGAGAAGTTATTTTGTTTATTATTTTATTTTATTTTATTTGAATTCATATTTTTTATACTTTATCATCTTATGTTATATTATTTTTATTATATTTTAATAAATATAACTTATTATGAAATAATAAATAAAAATAAATAAAAATCTTAAATAAATATAATTAATTAAAAAATATAATTTAAGTAAATAAAATGTTAAATAATCGTAAATGAACAATAAAACAAAATTTGTTATTTGTATATAAAATAATAACATATTAAAAATCTTAAATGAAATAATAATTTATTATATAATAATAAGTTATTAGATTTATAATAAATTTATTTTAAATAAATAAATAAAAATATTAAATGAATATAATATTATTATTACGATTCACTCTAACACAAAATATGAATTAAAAAAAAATATATTTTAATTATCTTAATATATTATTTTTAATTCAATTTTATATAAATTAATTTAATATAATTAAATTATCTTTTAGATTTAATTTGATTTAATATAATTAAATTATCTTTTAGATTTAATTTGATTTAATATAATTAAATTATCTTTTAGATTTAATTTGATTTCTTCATACGTAATGTGTATATATATAAAAGGTTATTACATTTAACAACTAAGTTGGATTGGTGTGGTGGTAGCAAAGGTTTCCCTTCAACCCTTTTAACCCAGGATCGAATCCCATATATGGCGTGCAACATAATTTTTTTTTAATTGACACATGGGTCGCCATGTCAGCGCAAAAATGCCATGCAATTGACACGTGGAATGTCATGTCAGCAAAAAAATACCATATCAGCAGAACGGACCGCCACGTCAGCAGAACAGGCCTGAAGTTGGGCCCTGTGATTCAAATTGCAAAAAATAACTAAAGTGGTGTATTAAATTGCAAATGTGGTGATTAAATTGCAAAAACATGAAAGGTAGTGTATTTATATGCAATTTTGCCATTATATAAAGTTTTAGGAATGTTTAAGAACTTAACTACTTGATAAAATATTTGATTTCAAAACAATATAGATATTATAATCATATAATTTATTTGTTACGTTTATGGTTTGTAATCATCCTATAATTCAAAATTCTTTCTAATTGACCATAGTTTTCGGATACTTTGAGAAATTTTGAGATTATTTAAATTAATGAGTACTTTGTATTTTTCTTTTTTAGTTTAGTAAAGTGATTCCAATTTTTTTGAAAAATTAATAAATATTTTAATTAATTTGTATATAATAAATGTTAAAATAGAAATAGGAAAAATATTTCTAACATCTTAAGAAATTGAAATTTTATAAAAGAAAAAGGAAAAAAGATGTAATATTGGAAAAGGAAAAAAAATAATATAAGAAAGAAAAATATTTGTCATGCTTCATAAGAAGAATTTAGAATAGGATACTCGACAGTTTATTTGACTTTTACCATTGTTAATAGTTTTAAATATTTACTTAAGGATATCAAATCAAAACAAAACAATCTATATATATATATATAAAAAGAATTACCATTTTTAAAAAATGACAATTCAATTTTTGGTCAAACCTTGTCTTCATTAATTGTTTTCCATTAATGGCAATTTTTCTTTTTTACTTTAGCAAAAATGGACAATCATTAATTGATGTCCTTAAAATGTGGAAGTTGTTGCTTTATTTTTGTATAGAAAATCAAGCTTTATTATAGGAATTTGTTCAATTACTCTATGAGTTTGTTGTGATATAATTATTTTTTACGAAAACATTTTTTTTTTTTCTTAACAGAAAATATGGCATTCCAATGAGATTTTTTTTTTCCAGTTCACGTGTTTCCCTTAAATATGACAAAACAAAATCATGAAACAATAAATAACATTTGTTTAAAACACAAATTTGGATATATAAAATAAACAATATCAAATGCAATAAATGTGATACATAACAAATAGAATACAAATCAATTTATACATATTATGTCACCACACTAATCACGATTGGTACTAATCAATCTATACATATCATGTCATCCAATGAAATCTTTCATATCTGTATCTACATCTATGTCTATATCTATATGAATAGATAACTTATTTACAAAAAATAGTAACAAAAAAAGTCAACCAGCATTTATTGCATTTTATTTTTGGTAGTTTTGAATTTTTTAAAACGGGGAAATTCTACTAGAAGGCCTAACTTTTAGTAATTATATTAATTTAGGGCCTGAATTTTTTACTTTTTCAATAGAAGACTTACATTTTAGGTTATTCTTACTTTAAGGCTTACATTTTAGTTAACTTTTCTTTATTAGGCCCAACTAATTTTACCTTTTCATATAAATATGTAAAACAACTATCATGTGAATAAATTATTATTATTATTATTATTATTATTATTATTATTATTATTATTATTTTTATTATTCAT